TTTTACAAAATGATTGATTGTTAGCGTGAAAGATTTTGATTAGTCCGTGAAAAGAAAGGAGAAGGGAATGGTTTCACGATTTGTTGATGAGACGCATTAAATGAGTGAAAAAAAAACGCGCTCTCTCTAAAATCTCTGTGGGCTGTGTGTGTGGCTAATTGGAAGTATAAGAGTGAGAGTTGAGAGTTGTTAGTGTTTCTGTACACTCCCCCTCACTGTAGAGTTTCTCTCTGAGTTGTTGAGAGTTAAAACCGGAAGTGAGTAGTACGCTTTAGGTTTGGAGGTGGTTATGTTATATACTTATATATACATTTATTATATTTAATTTCTTTTTTTATTTTTAATTTAATTTATTATTTTTCCTGGTGGTGGTTCATTTTTTTCTTTGTCGTGAGAGTCCACGTGTATTGACTGTCCTTGCACGTGCAACTGGCGTGTTGTTATCGATTAACGGGAAGCGCGAACCTCGCTTCTGACTCGGCTCGGCTTGACTAAATTGTTGTTTGGTGTGCCTCTGTTCCCCTTATTTATTTAATTAACGGTTACATTAAACCCCTTTAACATTGATTCAATCACAAAATTTCTCAAAAGGTTTTGAAATTTAAATATACCCCCTACTATTAGTGATAAATTAAGGAATCACTTTTACTACTTACTAAGGGCCTGTTTGATTTTTATTCAAAAATAATTTTAAAAATAAAATAGGATTCAAATTTTAGTTGTATCTTAATTATTTAATATTTGAAATTTATATTACATAATATTTAAAACGATTTTCATATTAGACGACTGTTAATCATTTTCTATTTTTACATTAGTTTCTAGGAATGTATTTGAAAACTGTTTTTGATAACAATTTGAGCATTTCAATCAATACATTTTCAAGGATTGATTGTATCTCATTTAAATTCTATATCAAATGGACCCTTGATATTATGGTATTTTCACTTACTATTAATTTTAACGCTTAAATCTTAACAATAGAGAGATTTTTGTGATTTAACTAAACTTTAGTGGGTTTTTGATTTACACTTTTATTAACTCTGTTGTGTGGACTGAACCATTGCAGAACATAGCGAAACAACATGGAACCAACACATGCTAATTCAACTAATCCCCCAATAAATATATGATTTATGTATTAAAAATCTTATTTTATTTGCTTAATTAATGGAAAACCTCGGTTAATACAAGAGGTTAGTTATCAGTTCCATAAAGATGTCTCTTACCAGGAATGGATTTTAGTTGTTTTTATATATTTTTGATATTAAATAATTGTTTGCTGGAAGCCATAAGTATTTCATTTAATTAATTCATATTTTCAGTCCTGATCTTTGAATCGTTTACGTAAATGTCCATCATATCGTTTACGGACAACAGAAAGTAATGTTTCTGTACTGGGGGGACGGACTTGTGTCCAGGTGGTGATTGGAAAGATTAAACAAACGTGAAACATGAATTCTTCTTAACAAATATGTTGTGTTCAATAAGTAAAATGGAGTGATTGAATGAGCATATCTACCTTGTCTGTCTTATTGCAGGGTATCCAAGAAGTGGTCTTAAATTCACATTTATAAGTGAATTAAACACAACCTATACACAAATTCTTGTTTTAAGACTCAACTATCATCTGGGTTCATGTAGAGTTTTGGTCAGACTTCAGTCAATTTACTCTCTGATTTACCTATTTAGACTTGCAATTTTCTATGTAAAATTCTGGTTCTGCTTCAGATGCTACCACTATTAAATTTGGTTATTTATTATACCATTAAAATCTACATTCCTCTGTAAATATGTATTTATTTTCACTCATCAAATACAGATGTTTGATTATATCTACATTTTTTTATTGCTACCGGGTTGGGTCCCTTTGGACCAAACTCATATGGCCCTCATTGAAAACGAAGCCCAGAAAATCTGAACGTAAACTGACCTTGACTAAACAAGATTTACTAGACTAAAGTGGAGCTGCGTTATTTAAGCCCCACTAAATCTTTTTCTAACTCAGTAATAGTTAAAATTATTTTAAAATTTTAATTTAGAATAATTTATATTTCATTTCAGAATTGCCCTTCTCTAATATTTTTCTTTACATTTTTTTTTTTTTTTTGGTTAACTCTATCACTTTATTGGTTTTGTGGTTTTTTCCACCAAGCGCGAGCTAACGCGAGGATATGCTCGACTCAGAATGATCTCGGCAACTATGATTGATTGACTTAGCATAAGCTCGTCGAGCCGTAGCTTGACCACACAAGCCAGTCGCGGACAATCCTAAAATTAATCAATCAATCCTCAGATTACTCAATCTGATTGGATCAACAGTTTCATTGTTTGATCATAACTTAATCGCAGGATATTGGAATTGTGATTCAAATCATTTGTAATCTCCGTAATTTCGCTATTTTCTTTATGTAATTTTGTATATAAACCCCTAAACGATGAGAGGGGGACACAAATTTTGGATAAAACTACATTTAAGCTCTCACAATATATACAAAAACACAATAGCGTAGGCTGTTAACTTCGCCGAACCACTTAAAAGTTCTCTTTGTCATTTACTTTTTGACATTCATTCACTCATCGTTGATATCCGTAATCACGCACACATCGTTTCGATCCAAACAAGGTCGATCGATCTCGCTAGTTGGTGCAGATTTCTGCATCAATACTTATATTTTCCTTTTTTGATAAATTTGAATTGGCTTTCGTTCGACAATTTATTTCCTCTCCAAATTCTTATACATAGTATTTTTATTCAAATCAACTCCAAGTTTCATAAGAATTGAAAATAAAATATATCAATTAGTTAAAATGATTTTCTTTTTCATCCTTCTCGTATAGATCAAATAATTATTATAGCTTATCTTATTTAATGTACAATTTCAAACCCTAAGCAAGAACGGTTAACGGAAATACCCATTATATTTTATTGCAAAATAAAAAATTATTTGTGATAACATAATTTCTCAACAAATAATTTCAATTTTCAAACACTGAGACTTTTTAATTTATGGGGTGTACTACAAAATAATTGCTTATTGTTTAAAAAATTATTATCGAAAAAGAATGTGAAGAGACTTAAATAACACTAGTGTTAGAAATGAGAACCGGATTGAATCAAATATAAGGCATCAATTATCGAACAAAATAAATAAAAAAGACCATTCATAAGTTAAATCAAATCGGCCTTGATTAGGTCCAAGTCAAATGAAAATGATACTATTTTAATGTTAATATTTTTCCGATATTTACAGTGAGCCATGAAACTTAACGTTGATCTTCAATTATAAATAGCGTCTCATGAAATCACTCCATTTCCATATCATAATTGAATAAACTCTTCACTCTCCTTACCTATTGTACTTTGAAACCAGGGAATTAACAAATATTAATTCAATGGGTCTTGTCTGATGATCTTGGCTCTCTATTGTGGAGTTGCCATAGCCGCCGAGTACAAGGTCGGTGATGAACCTGGATGGACCCGCAAAGTTCCCGTGATTACTATGAATGGGCTTCCGACAAGATTTCTACATCGGTGACACTCTTTGTACGTAATGTATTGTATGCTACATCGGTTTTCTCAATTTTCTTCTTAAAAAAAGAGAGAAAGACTCTTCAGTAGATTGTTTGGTGCCCTCGTTTTGACAGTCATTTCTATATCTATATCTGTTGCTTAATTATTTTATGCAGCACCCACGCACGATGTGATGGAATGACTGCTAAAAACTTCAAGCAATGCAACACACGAAACCCAATCGCCGTCTACCGCACCGGCGCTGACAAGATCGAGTTGAGGAGGCCGGCCACTATTTCTTCACCTGCAGTACTCCCGGCCATTGCCAACCGGACAGAAGTTAAGCGTTGTAGTTGATTACAAGCCTGGACAAAATTATGAGAAGAACCGAAGAACCCAAGTGCTGATCCTAGGGATGAAAATTCACCAACTGCAGCGCCTGATGCTGGAGAAACACCTGAGACTGATCCTAACCAAAAAAATCCACCAATGGCAGCGCCGGATGCTCCCGGTCCTTCAAGTATTTTGCTTCCTTACTATAATGCACCCAAATCACCCCAACCCCAAAAGAAGAGATTAGAAGACAAATTGCATTAGAGCCATAACCCATTTGAAATTACATCCAATGGGTTCACGTTCAAGAAAAAGACGCATGAATTGAATTTCTATATTATTGATTCGAAAATTTCATTAATTAAATTTCTCTTGTTATTAAGCCTTTGAAGTTTTATTTATTTTAACCTAATCGTCACTAAACATGTTCATCTATATGATTGAACAGAAAGGCGGTCCCAATCTAATTAACATAAAATTTTCAATGTTTAATAATAATTATATAAAGAGTTAATTGCATTTTTTCTAAGATATCATTAAATAACTAAAATTAGAAATAACAATTTACATCCCTATTATTAGGGTTTCGTTAAAGGACAAAATATTATTAATGACCGAATTTCTAACAAATATTAACAAGGTGGTTTTCAGATATAGTCTGGAAATTTAATAAATCCTTGTAAAAGTAATTATCAACTGAAGTGCATATATAAATATTCCTGAAGTGAGCGGTATATTTATATATGTGTTACCATAACATTTAAGAAAAATAGTTACCATTGACATAAAATGTGTTACAAAAAGTTAAAATGCTACGTATAAAAATTGTTATCGTAACATTTTACATCAAGTGTTACCATAGATAGTCTACGATAACACTTTAAGAAACGGTAACACTTTTGTTACTGTTTAGTGTTACCGTATGTCATTTTTATTATAGTGCGAGTAGAACATATTTTCATGCTCACCCCTACTTAATTCGTCCTCATTATTTCTACTTTTTGTTTTTTCAAAACATTTTTATATAAAACGTTGCTGATTTTTTATATTAAATTATTTTGAATTCACCCTCTCTGAAATTAATTCTTGATCCGTCCCTTTCGAATGATTATTATAGTGAACATTTTATGCAGTTTTCCAATACAACACCGCCATGCACGATGTGATGGAAGTAACTAAGGAAAACTTCCAGAAATGTAACAAAGAGAACCCAATTGCCGTCTACCGGACTGGCTCTGACAAGATTGAGCTCAAAAGGTCTGGCCTCCATTTCTTCATTTGCAGTACTCACAACCACTGCGAAGCCAGACAAAAGGTGAGCTTTAACGTTGATTTCGCGCCTGGACAACCTCGGAATCCATTGGCAGAGGACTTGAAGTACGAAAAAGATAATGAAGAGAGCCACGCACCATCTGAATCACCCAACGCACCCGGTCCTTCAGGTGGTTTGCCTCCTTATTCCTATGCTCCCACATATAGCCCATCCCCATGAATCAATATACAGAGCATTAGAGCCATAAACCATTAGCAATAAGATCGATAAGACGAAGAAATGTTCGGTGCGTACATGAACTGTATTCATATTTATTGTTTCGAAATTCTCATTGATACAAGTTTTCGAGTCTAAATGAAAGCGCGTATACTTATATATTCTGTTTGATTTATTGGCTCTATCTTATATCTTAATAGCTTTTATTACGACTCAAATCTCTCAGTAGTTTTATTTAGAGAAATTAGGTAATTTTATATAATTGTCCTTAATAAATAATAAAAATGAGAGAAATAGTCGGAATGCTTTAGATTTAATATTCTGATATGATCTAACAGGGTCTAATTTAAATACGAAACTACCTGAGTCTAATATGATCTACTATAGTGTATAATGTTATATATTATAGAACATATCATTTGTTATTTCATTAAAAGTATAATTAGTAAGTTACTGAATTTTATAACTCGATTTATTCTTTAAATAAAACCCTCACAATTTAGGAAAGTAAGATGAGTTTACTATATATGTCCAAACTTTATTTATTTATTTTAACCTAATCATCTCTCAATATTGAAACAAAAAGGTAGTGCCAATTTATCATAAATTTTAGGGGTGTTTAAAATATCTTTTCGAAAATTTAATTAACCCTAACAAAAATAATTGTTAAGTGAAGTGAAGTGCATAAAGTGAGCAGTCGATCAAATTTATATATAGATATCTATATGAGAAATTCACAAAACGAAAATTAGGACATCAATAACATTTTTAAAATGTCATTTAAACCATTTGTAGCTTTTCTTAAAAGTTATAATATTATTACCGAGATTTGTAAAGAAACTCATGACATTTTTTTTTTCCAACTTTTATTCATATAAATTAAAATTGACATCCAAATACAAACATATTTTCTGATAAAATATTTAGAGAAAAATATAATAGAAAACCAACTATAAGTATCATGATATTTCATTTGCAAATTATGTTATTTATGAGTAATTAGGACCAACTTAAGAATTAACTATAGAAATATTAACACAAATACATAATTAATTTGGGTAGAACAAGAAACTAAGTAAATTTAATGATTTTTTTTAGTATCAAATCCACAAAGAAGAGATTTGATTGCAGCTAAGGAATGGACTAATCCGATTGAGCAACCGGTTGGTGGTGAAGCTGGTTGGACTTGCCCCTTTTTTAATGCTGAGTGGATCGGCACCAAGGTGGCTGGTTGGACTTGCCCCTTTTTTAATACTGAGTGGATCGGCACCGAGGTGACCGGTTGGAACAAAATCCTTGTTAAAGACACTCTAGGTAATTAAAGTAATTAATTAGCTAATTAATCACCTCTTAAATTGAGTTAAACCTTATTTTATATCATATCGTTAATGGGTAATCTTGTATCCTTTAATTAATGTAGTGTTCAAGTACAACCCCTCACAGCACAGTATGATGATAATTGGCCATCAAGTGTACGAAATCATGCGAAACAAAATCTCCAATTGCGCTCTACAATTCTGGCTTGGACAAGATCACACTCGACAAGTCGGGCAACCATTGCTTCATCTGCGGCATTATTGAGTAGAGGTGAAATCCAGTCAAGTCGAGTCGAGTATCTGGTTAATCAAAATCGACTCGAGTGTTACAGTATCGAATTTGAGTTTGAGCCTGATCGAGCATGAGAAATCGAGTTTGAATTCGAACTCGATACCTGAAATTGGAATTCAAGTTTGTATAATCTAGTTTTAGTCAAATTTTATTCGAGTTCGAGAATATGAGCTTCAATTGAATTTGAGTTTTCAAGTTTTAATCGAATTCTACTGTAATCGAACTTGAATTCAACTCGACTAATGTCAAGCCTAGCTCGAGCCGCTTGTGAGTGGCTCGACTCGATTGTCACCCTTACTCTTGACCACTGTCACAACTCTAAACATAAGGTGCCTATGTTGGTAAACACGGCAAACAAAAAATTTGAGCCAACTTATTAGGAGAAAATGAACATTTTTATCGTTAGACGTAACACGTGTAGAGGACAATGCGAACATAATTTAATTACAATACGGTTCCGGTAAAATTATGGTGTCCTCAAAAACTTTTGGTGAAACAAGGTCGAATATTAATTTCAATGTGTGAGGTTAAAGTAATACTGCAATCGGAGTTATATCTACTTGACATAATCTCTATTTTGGGATGTTAGCGTCACTTTTATAAAATTGGAGGCAGAAAAATTTCACACCAAGCTTTAGGGGTGACCATGTAATTATTTGAACTAAAGTAAATTTATTGTTTAAAGTTTTACTAAAACATTATTATTTATTACTTTGCTACATTTATTAACACTAATATTTTAAGATGGTGCTGTTAGTTTCTCAGACTCTCACTAATTATTTTAGTTGACCCTGTTTATTATATTCTTTTTAATTACACTTTTATCCTTTATGAAAAACTATTAAATAAGACGCAAAATTATTTCATAATTCATACACAATCTATCTAGAATTGATTTTGCTATTAATTTAAAAAAATTTAGTTCCTTTTCTACCTCATAAACCTAATTTTATTTTTAAATAATCAAGATGATTGAATGAATTTGATCAATAACATACAAGCATTACATTTTTTGGCTTTATTTTACTATATCATATTGTTTATAACTTTCAATTGATTTACATAACTTGTGGCTTGTTATTTGTTGATGCGTGATTTTGACACCAACTAACCGCACATGTGAAATGCTGAGTTGGCCTAGAAGACACACGTGAATAGGGGATTGAGAATATAAATGGTGGCAAGACAATGTTTAAAGTGGTTCGGATGCTTGACCAAATGAATCCTACGTCCACTGATATTGTATTTATATTTGAGGGATCAGGTTGCAGAGTAGCAAGCTGATGAGAGCATGACAGAGAGAGAGAGAGAGGGAGAGAGCTATTACAGAGAGAAAATAGCTAATCAAGAGTAAAAATGAGCGAATCCCACAAACGAGAGAGAAGCTCTCTATTTATAGTGGGATACATTGAGGTAATCATTACTGAATCCAAAAAAGGGGTCACGTACCGTGCAAATCCTCATTTACGTCTCGTTATTCACCTACTCGCGTGATCTCCTCGCTTTATGCAAGGATTGGACGTCCTCCAGCCTTTCGTCAGTCTGGCATGCACCCACTGCACTGGCAGGAGCATGCTGCTCACGCTAGCACGTGACGTGGTCGGGCCTGAATGGCTGCAGGATCTGTCCAGACCTTGACCACTTGCGCTGACTAGGAATGAGCATATCTACCTTGTCTGTCTTATTACAGACAGACAAGGTAGATATGCTCATTCAATCACTCCATTTACTTATTGAACAAACATATTTGTTAAGAAGAATTTCATGTTTCACGCTTGTTTAATTGCAAGGATATCGGAATTGTGATTCAAATCATTTGTAATCTCCTTAATTTCGCTCTTTCCTTTATGTAAATTTTGTATATAAACCCCCTAAAACGATTAGGAGGGGGACACAAATTCTGGATAAAAACTACATTGTAAGCTCTCACAAATCACAATATATACAAAAAACACAATGGACGTAGGCTGTTAACTTCGCCGAACCACTTTAAAAGTTCTTTTTATCATTTACTTTATGACATTATCATTCACTCATCGCTGATTATCCGTAATCACGCACACATCAGTTTCGATTCAGACAAGGTCGATCGGATCTCGCTAGTTGATGCAGATTTCTGCATCAATACTTATATTTTCCTTTTTTGATAAAATTTGAATTGGCTTTCGTTTAACGGGAGCGCGAACCTCGGCTTCTGACTCGGCTCGGCTTGACTAAATTGTTGTTTGGTGTGCCTCTGTTTCCCTTAATTTATTTAATTAACGGTTAACATTAAACCCCTTTAACTTGATTAATCACAAAATTTCTCAAAAGGTTTTTAAAATTTAATAATACCCCCTACTATTAGTGATAAATTAAAGAAATTACACTTTTACTACTTACTAAGGGCCTGTTTGATTTTTATTCAAAAATAATTTTGAAAAACTAAAATATGATTCAAATTTTGTAGTTGTATTTATATTTTTAATATTTGAAAATTTATATGAATAATTAAAAACGATTTTCATATTAGACGACTGTTAATCATTTTCTATTTTTACATTATTTTAGGAATGTATTTGAAAACTGTTTTTATAACAATTTGAGCCATTTCAATCAAATTATTTCAAGGATTGTTTGTATCTGCATTTAAATTCTATATCAAATGGACCCTTGATATTATGTATTTTCCCTTACTATTAATTTTAACCTTAAATCTTAACATAGAGAGATTTTTGTGATTTAACTAAACTTTAGGGGTTTTTGATTTACACTTTTATTAACTCTGTTGTGTGGACTGAACCATTGCAGAAGCAGTAGCGAAACAACATGGAACCAACACAGCTAATTAACAAATAATCCCCCAATATATATGATTTGTATTAAAAATCTTATTTTATTTGCTTAATTAATGGAAAACCTCGGTTAATACAAGAGGCTTAGTTATCAGTTCCATAAGATGTCTCTTACCAGGGATTTTAGTTAGTTTATTATATTTTGATATTAATAATTGTTTGCTGGAGCCATAGTATTTCAATTTAATTAATTCATTTTCAGTCCTGATCTTTGAATCGTTTACGTAAATGTCCATCATATCGTTTACGGACAACAGAAAGTAATGTTTCTGTACTGGGAGGACGGACTTGATGTCCAGGTGGTGATTGGAAATTAAACAAACGTGAAACATGAAATTCTTCTTAACAATATTTTTGTTCAATAAGTAAATGGAGTGATTGAATGAGCATATCTACCTGTCTGTCTTATTGCAGGGTATCCAGAAGGTGGTCTTAAAATTCACATTTATAAGTGAAATTAAACACAACCTATACGATCAATTTCTGTTTTAAAACTCAACTATGCATCTGGGTTCATGTAGAGTTTTGGTCAAGATTATCATTCTCTCTGATTTACCTATT